TATATATATATATATATTCTAAAATTAAAAGATTAAAATTACATAATTAAAAAATAAGACTAAAAGATTATAAAAGACAATGTAGTAATTATTTTAATTCATATATAAAAATTAATTAAGAACTTTTAAATGAAAAATAATAATAAAGCAACAATCTTGTACGAAAATGCAATCTTTTTTCAGGTATAAAATAAATATTTTAAAAAATATTTCTTTTAAGAAATAAACTAGAGTTACTTCATAAAACAAATAAAAAATTATCTTTTCTTTCACAAATACATTAAAATAATTTTGCTATAAAAAAATACATTAAAATAACTGTTTGTTTTATTAAAAAAAAAATAGACAAACTGGTCAAAAGATAATCTTAAAATTAAATGCTGCTTCTTATTTAAAAGGGTAAAGTAAAATACAATGTATAAACAAAAATCTATTGCAAAATCCAAACTTTAGAGACCCTAGCGATTTGGTGTGTCTTCCTATGTTTATTCTGTGAATGGCGCTTTGGAATCATACAATTACAAATCAATCGCAACAGCGTTTATCATCGTCGTTTCACCCAAATTGAACCGAAATCTTCCTCATTTCAATGGTAACCCCTCACCACTTCTCAATCAATTTCAATTTTCTTTTTTCAATCACAATTTTTATTCAATTAACAGTTTTTCTCTTCCAATTCAGTTAGGTTTCTGATTTTTTTATCACGAAATTTTGCATTTCATTCAAAGTTACTCTCTATCTGGCATATGAAAAATTGTTGGGTATGTGAGAATTTGAGAATAAAATGTTTCGCTGGTTTGAGCAAAGCAGGAACTGACTTGATGATGGTTGTGAATAACTGTATATGTTTAATTGAATCCATGAGCATCTGAATTTGATTTCTTTTATTATTTTTTTTTTCCAAAAATTGGATTAGGGTCTGATACATGTGAAATGTGATTGATGGCATAATCTTGGAAACAGAACACAAGGTGTATGTATAATGGAGCTTGATTTGAATCGGGAGCTTGATTTGAATCAGGAGCCTTTGGACCCACCTCATGCTTCTGCAGATGGATTTGATTCTTTGTTGGAAGAACTAGAATCTGCTCATGAACATGTGCAAGACCGCATTAGGCACCTTGAAGTGATAACTTCCAGAGCCAGGCAGCGTCAGAGGTGGCCACCGGTTCACACTCCGATCCAAATAACCAATTTTACCGGACAAGCTGCAGAGCCAGCTGATGCTCAAGATGAAGGAATGGAGCACCAGGAAGTTGAGGAAAGTGTAGTTGAAAGTGAGAAAGGGTGCAAAAGGAAAGGTGCCCATTTAATAGCTAAAGCATTGGGGATTGAAACAGATGCAAGTAAGGAAGAGGGAAGCACTGGAAATTTTTTTGATTGCAATATCTGCTTCGGCATGGCAAGAGATCCTGTGTTGACCTGCTGTGGTCACTTGTTTTGTTGGCCATGCTTCTATCAGTTGGCATATGTCTATTCAAATGCAAAGGAGTGCCCTGTTTGTAAAGGAGAGGTCACTGAAACTGGAATTATTCCTATCTATGGCAATGCAAGTGCCAGTGCCAATTGTGAGTTGGGATTAAAAGGGGCTGGTTTGAGAGTTCCTCCCCGACCTGTTGCACCCAGAATTGAGAGTTTTAGGCAGCAGCTAATAAGCCAGGGAGCATCTTCTTCTGTGATCCAAAGTATCCGGCGGTTTAATTACCTTATTGGTGGGTTAGGAGCGCGAGTTCAGTCACAAAGCCCCATTGCTGTAAGTGTATCTGATAGAAACAACAGTTTGCTCACTCAATATCGCCTGCAGAATGTTAATGATCGCGGTACTGGTTCCTCTCCGATTTCATCCTTGTTAGTGCAAGGTGCTGCTTCATTTTCTTCCCTCTCATCAGCGTTAAATTCTGCAATGGATTCTGCTGAAAGATTAGTTGAGGACCTTGAGTTATATATTCATGATCACCAAGTAGGAGGTAGCGGGCAGTTAAACCTCCGCGATGTCAATAGAAATTCAACTGATAATGGGAATGTTGCTGCAGCTGGTTCCTCAGTTGCAGCTTCTACATTTCCTTTTAGTAGGGATTTTAATGCTACTGCTGATATTGGCTCAGAAATCCAGACAACAGATAGTAACATACAGACTGAGACTGCTCCATTTGACCCTTCTTCATCTCACAGCAGAAGCACTCGTGTTTCAACTTCAAGAAGAGTTTCAAATGAGCGCAGAAGAAGGAGGGCAAGATGAAAGGTCTTTTATGTAAGGAGATGTAAATCGAATTGCCAGAAGGTTCCCAGGTTATATGAAAGCTACAATTTGTTTGTCATACAAAATTTTCTCTCTTTTAGCAATTGGTGTGTATAAAATATAAGCAACCATTTTAAGCTATTTATGTGGTGTAACCAATTTTTATTCAATAGATGGGAGGATGTTTACAGAAATTTATCAGGATATATATTTCTTTTTCATTAAGATGGGAGGATGTTTACAGAAATTTATCGGGATATATATTTCTTTTTCATTGAGGAGCTTATATTATTGATTCATCATGCTTGCAACAGTACGGTATCACATTTACATAAATACAGAGTGGTTCTTCACTACATAACCTAGAAGCTGACACGCCAAAGTGCCATATATTAGTTCAATATTAAGTCTGAATGTAAGAAACAGCCCCACATAAAGCTTTCCTTTCTCCTTTATGCCAATTTGTGGGGTCATGGAAGAAAAAGGTTTGGATCAGCTTTAAGGGCCTAACTTTCTAGCTTTTATGATGCACACAAGATTGATCAACAGCTAAGTTGAACACAATTGGTCCATCAATGTAATGTGTTTAGCAAATTCACGATCAGTATTGAATTTCTACTCAAAGGCTATCAACTGTTGGGCAAATATCATTTTTTTTCCTAGATGCGTGATTTAAGATTGTATACTACAATATTAGTTAGCAATCAGGTTATCAATCAGCTAGATTTGGTAAGTTTTGATTTGCTGTCAATTAAGTGTAAACGCTGTCATGGAATTAAACTTAATTTTTGGATTGATAGGAATAATATCTGTCAAGTTATTATTTTTTAGGAATAATGTTTAGCATATATTGGGGAATAATTATAACTGCTTATAATTGGTGTTATGAGAATCTCGTGTGCATATTTATGTGAAATCAGAGAATAAAGGGTGGAAAAGCATATACCTTTTTCCTTTTTGTGGCCCGATTCATTGCATTGTACGCAAATTTAGCTGGTGGTTAAAGCCTAGTTAGTATAAAGGTCACTTCAGTGTATATCCATTAAAAAATAGATGGGTTCGAGTTCGACTAGGTTAGCCAAATAAATGAACCCATAAAATAGATGGTTTGCATAATAAAAAAATATTAAAAAAAGAAAGTTTAAAAAATAAATAAACAAACATATAAAATAGTAAAAAAAAATCAACCTATAATGACAAATTTTCAACTATTAAGTAATAAAAAATAAAAAAACTTAAAAGAATCGTCATGTAAACATCCAATAAATATCCAAAGGTATTTTTCTTCCTGCACTCGTCATTTTGCCTCGAACACCCGTCAAATTAAAAAAAATTATTAAAGTATTCTTAGATCAATGACACCTTTCAAAACATTCAATCTAAATGTGTTTTGATCTCTCTAAATACATATTCTGAATGTGTTTTCATCTCCCCAGAATAAGTATTTGGGACCATTAGATATGCACCTAGTTTTACAAGTCCAGATGATATTTGGAACAAATTTTACGAGTCCGGATTACATAACTCGAAACAATTTTTCCAAACAGTGAACAGTGCTGGGAATACATTTTCTTTCCAATTGATCCGGAGCTGTCAACAATTGTTCCGGAGTAATAATTTCTTTGTCTGTGGTATTGCATCTTCCATATTGAATCTTCAATCCAACTTGGATGCATTTGGTATTTCAGCAACAACCCTTTCTTCCACCCATCAAGGATTGAGACAAGAGATTGAATCATCATGTTCATACTTGGGTTCTACCTCTATTCTTCTCCACAAAATCCAAATATTGGTCAAAAACAGTTCTGGGAAACTGTTCCGAACAATTGTTCAAGACTATAAAATTTGTTTTGGATTATATAATCTGGACTCGTAAAATCAGGGGTATATCTAACAACGCAGAACACCTATTCAGAGAAATAAAAACACAAAAAAAATATGTATTCCAGATAGATAAACACGCATTGGGATTGCTCCTATTGAAGTAAGGTTATATTAAAAAAAACTTTCAAAATGATAGGTGTATGGGAAAAGCCACGAGTCTAGGAAGAAAATGTCATTAATTATAAAAGTTCAAGTTGGCAAAGTGAGTCACGCGGCGTCCCAACTCACAAAAAATTAAGGCTTATGATATATACATTTTAAAAAAAAATTAAAATTTTAAAATATTTTTAATTTTTTTAATTTTTAATTTTTAATTTTACACCTCTAACATTTAATATAACACTTTTTTTTTTCTCTTTTTCATACAGCTCTTTCTCTTCTCTTTTCATTTTTTACATGCACATTTTTACCTTTTTTTTATTTTTACCTATTTCAGTATGTAATTTTAATTCTTTTAATTTTACATTACTCTATTCCTCCTCTTTGAGTTTTCTCACTATTATCTTCTCTCTCTATTAGTTTTCACACACATCCTGTACCTGTCTAAGGGCACACTCAATCTTCAGGGAGGTGAGGGGCCGAACGAGAGCTTCAAGTGGATACTTTGGAGGGGGGAGGTACCTGCAAAAGGCACTCCGACGCTCAAGTCAGGACAAACACGATTTTCTAGGGTAATAAATGAACAGTGATGTACCTCGTTATAAGTGACCTATTTATACTACCTTTGATGGGCCCTGTCAGTGGTGGGCCTCTTCTGAAGTTTACCAAATTAGGTAATATGATGCTAATCGGCTGATTACGTCTTAATCATGCATTTGTCCTTGTTAACCGTGATTATTGCCGTAGTCCTTGCTTTATCCTTCAGCTCATTGCCGAGCCGATAAGTAAAGTCTTGCGGTGTTGCTTGTCTTCGGCCTTGGGCCGGGCCGACAGGTACTTATTCAGTCATCCTACCCGTTCGGTCTTCGGCCGAGCCGATACGTAGGGCATACGAAGCCACATCGTAGTTCTTCTTACCGGTCTTTAGCCGGGCCAAGGTTGTTAGTAGACTCTTCTTCGGCATTCGGCCGCGTGCCGAGCCGATGTTAACGTCGAGGTTCATATGGGTATGATCATGGTTGTTTTTGGTTCGCGTGAGTGTCTGTCGGAACGGCACGTGTTGGTCCATGTGACCGATAGGACCCTTCCGGTACACAAGCCCCCCAGCCTTAAGGAGTGTAATGACACCAAGGGTAATTTTGATGTGGGGAGTCGTGACCGTAGGGTATGTGTTTTTGGCATACGAAGGGTTGTAACCGTTGGCGGAATGCAAAGGGTTGTAACCAGTGACGGATCCAGAAAATTTAAGTAGTGGGGGCAATATTTAAATATATAAATTTGTCAAAATATAAAATAAAATTTTTATAAAGACAAATACATATCATAATTGTTCCTTACGAGTTTTCATAGTTTAAAAATATTGAATGATTTGCTCATTTTCAATACTGTCAAAAATATCTCTCTCTATATAAGTAACTAAACAATCATTTAATCATTCATTTCTCATATGATTTCGCATCCGATTCTTAATAATATTTATAGCAGAAAAAGCTCTTTCAACTAATGCAGTTGTCACTAGTAGTATCAAGGCTAGCTTTAAAAGCAAATACACTAATGGATATACAACATATTTTCTTGTCTTCACAAGCTTTATAGAAAGATCACCAATCCCTTCTAACTTCATCTCTATTACTTGGATGATAATTTGAAATTTTTGACCTTAGACAAGGATCATCAGGAAGTCTTTCCAAATCACATTCTATAAATCTTATTTTGGTTGATGGACCCAATTTGACTTCTTTTTCAACATGTGTTCAAGGAGAAGATAGTTGCTCTGAAGATGATTTTCTTTTAAAATACCTTTTCATTACTATAACTAAAAGCAATATAATTTTAATTAATGTAATGTTCATAACATACAATGTTTTTTCTAAACATAAAAATAGAATGAGTAAATAAAAATTAAAATATTGAATTTCTCATTGAAAATAAAAAATAATTACTTTAAATACACTAATCATTTTAAATATATAGTTTATCTATTGAAACATGAAGGAGTAAAGATGGATGAAGAAGTTTGTTTGTTTTTATTTTTTATTTTTCAATTTCACTCCTTTACACTTTAAATTATGTTAGAGATAGAGAGAAATCTCAAAATATGAATAGAATTGAAAAAAGTAAAAATAAGATAAAAAAAAGATATAAAACATCCAAAAAGAAATTAATAACAACTTATGATTTTTTTTTTACTTAAAATACATAAAATTAATGCATAACAACTTTTTTTTTTGAAAAATATAATTTATTGTTAATTTTTATAACATATTAAAATATATTATTTTAAATCTTTCTTCTCACACAAAAATAAGTGTAACAAGACTTAAATTCAGTTATAATTTTATAACTTTTTATTTTTTTTTATTTCTATTTTTAGATTTTAAATGAAAATAATATAATATTATATATATTAAAAAGGAAAAACGGAAAAGTTAGTGGGGGCAACTGCCCCCACACGAATACACATGGATCTGTCGTTGGTTGTAACTGTTGGGCATTAATGACGCATGCGAAGGGTTACAACTGCTGGCGGAATGCGAAGAGTTGTGCATCATGAACCGTTGGATCAAATTGATCTAACGGTGCTGGGTGGGTCGTGGCGTTTGAAGTGATTGTAAGGGAGTCTATAAATAGGCGTGGGGATGGGGACCCTAAGATGCACAATTCTTGCTTGCTCCGAGCCGAAATCAATTTGCAGCTACAGCTTTCGCGTTTCTTCCTACCAAGACCGATCGCGTCTGTCTTCTAGGTACGTTATGGCAGATAGGGATGTTGTTGACATCGGCTCTTCTGGGGACACGGGAGACTCCGCTAGCACCGGGTCACAAGAAGCGCCGAACCGAGACAACCTCTCGGCCTCGGCTTCTAACAGGGAGGATAATATAGAGTCCGTTTCAGGGTCCGAGGAACGACAGGATGGAAGTGAATCTTCGTCAGTGATAGTGTCTGATGGTCGTCCGACTAGGGGTGGCGCAGCTGCTAGGCATTTTGGTCCCATAGATACCCCTGGCTACTCGTGGGTGCATGGGGAGGTTGGTAGCGTATACTCTCGGTATACTGACAGGAATGCTATTGCTCTTTTTATTTCGGCCACGAAGTGCTTGACTTTTCCCGAGGAAGAGGAACCTTCCGCCATCTTTTTTCAGCCATGCCGAGGCGACGGAGGGCCAAACCCTGATTTCGTATACTTGGATCAAGGGTCGTGCAAGTACCAATTTTTTTATGTGTACGATTACATGTTCCAA